TATATACAACTGCAATCACATCTCTTCACTGTTAAATGGGCTAAGATACCACAGTTTTAGTCATAATCATTGTTCCTTGTAACATGTTATATACATTTAGCAACATACTTTTTATATATACATACATATTTTGAAGGGAAAGATCTTCAAAAGTAGAAACAAAATGTGTTAGTACCAAAAAGAGCCCAGTGACCGAACAACATTTACTTACATTAAAGTATAAATTAGACTTCAAACATGAGCATTGAAGCGAATAAATGAGTGTACAAAGCCCCATTCTGGCTAATTTAAAATGCTAATGAAACTATTAGTCTTGTTGCGATAAATCTCTATGAAAATTACAACTATGCCGTGTTTGTAAAGGAAGTAAATAGCTGGTTTAAGATCCGAGATATCAGCCCTTTTGTGGATCTCAATTTACCTTAAATTAAATGTTGCCTTGTGACATTTAAAGGTTGAAGAAGAAAAGGCGAGGAACAATTTGAAGTATACACGAGCAATAAAAGAGCAAATCAAGCTGTCGTTGCCAGATAAGTCAAGTAGGATCCAGTTTGGAAAGACTGCTTCTGAATGGCACGCCGTATATTGTGGAAATGTCATAATGATTTCATAGCCCCACGGTGCATATATAGGACTGTGTAAAAGTGCTAGCCAGGCTTTTAGGCCATGGGGAAATGGCATCCTTTACCATTAGATTAAAGGTGCACTGCATAACTTTTCAGGTTGGGTATCTGCCCTTATAATGCTCCACAGTCTGGTATTAAACTTTATATAAGATGCATTTATTCAGTTATGAGTGTTTTTATTGCCTTTAAAAGCATGTATTCTGACTGTGAGTGGGGGTCACCTCTTCACAGATCTCTCATGTAAATTGACCTGGTGGTGTCTCCTGCTTGTTTCTATGGACATTTTGAAAAGTTTAATGCCAAACTTTGGAGACAAGCAACTGGCAGGTCTGAGAAAAGTGAATACTGGCTGGAGCGTCCCCCTGGCTTGAAAGTCCCAGCTCGAGCGTCCCTTTCTCTCGGCGGGAATGTCTCCGTCCTTCCTGTAGAAAATTATCATTATCATTTTATATCATAATAAAATGAAATGTGAATGTAGTGAGACCAAATCTCGGGTCTTGTTTGTCATTTTACCGATCTTCTTGAGGCGGCACACATTTTTTTCCATTATATAATATCAATATAATCCTCATTTGCTCACATAAGTTTACTATGAAATTGTATTTTAAATATTTTTTTTCTTGTTCCCCATGTGCTATAGCATCTGTAACTGTTGATTTGGGAAGAAGTAATCATTATTTCCTTACCTGTCATGAACATAATCAACTCATGTCAGGTGTCATATCATGCAACAGGGGATGGAAGCAGGGTGCTATGGTCAACATAAACAAATGTGTTGAGATATACTGTAACTTGCAAGTGTAATTAATATAGTATGTATAATAAAAAAAAAAAGTTACAAGGTACAATTCAGGGGGACTTTCCAGCTGATTTCCTTTAACACACCTTCAACCTTTAGTGCACCTTTAACATACAAATCTAACCTAAATTTATAAAACAGTGAAGGTAGGTTATATCCTGCAATGGCAATGTTATGAAAGATTCTTTGGCTAAAACTTAAATATTTCTACCAGTCACATTTTCATTAGTTTTTTCCGCCCTTATTATCTCAATGTAGATTAAGGCCATTCAGACTTTAGGAAAGTGGCAGTTTTGTCCTTGTACTGATACTTGTTCAAATGAGCATACTAGTTATGAATTACTATCTATAGAATCAGTGCTAATGTCATTTTAAAAGGTTTTGTGAACAAGAGCAAGATTTAAATATTATGCTTTTGCCTGCTATACATTTATAGCCTATAACAACCTTGGATCATTATGTTAACATTTTGAACGTTTTGAACATTTTAAATGGCAATATTCAGCCAAAATGAGTTAATAAAAGAAGCATCATCACACAAAGAGCCGTGAAGTTGTTGGCACCTCCTATGGATAGCTGCAAATCACACCAGCGAGTAACATATTTTCTTTTCTTTCTTATTTTTTGATAAAAGAGAAAATAAAATTGGAGAACTAAATAAGTACAGAGAAGTGGGTGTATGCTGGTGGAGATGAAACAGGTTGATCGGAGCAATGATGTTTTGAAAACAATAGTATAAATATTATTCAGACACACATGAATCACGCTAAATACAACTTTGAGAGTGTAAATGAGTAGTAGTATGAGTACCAATTTTGCAGGTCCACTTTAAACAAACAGTTAGAATTCAACTTGGAGAAACACAAATTTATTCCTCTAATGGAGCAAAGATTGACGATAAACCTGTCTAATTAAATAGCTCCATGAACCCAACCACTAACCCTCACCTTAAAGAGACCATATTACGCTATTTTCTGATGTATGTTATAATGTTGTTTGCTCATCATAAACATGCATGTAGTTGTGTTTTGTGTCATTCACACATTAAACACACAACCCTGCATATTTAGGCTGAGTTTAGTTGAGTTAAGTTTAGGCAAAACACAACTCCGGGTATGTTTTTGAGAGGTTCCAACATTATAACATGGCTTAAAGGGCATAAGAGTCGATCCTCCATAATATAGGACCTTTTAACATTTATTATTTCAGTATCTCAAAAATCCAAAATAAACCTCGATTTGCACTTCAGCGTGACTCTGTTGCATGTGTATCCCTTCTTGTTTCTCTCGGGTCTGTTGACAACAGTTACTACGCGTGACGAGCAAAGCAAAGTACTTACCCCCTCACAGAGCACCTGTAGTGGTTTAGAGCTGACACGCTTCTTGCATGCGGCAGCCATGTTTCGTACCATGACTCTGACCTCTTATCCTCTGAGTCCCAGATGGCCTGACCCCCCTCTACCCCCCTGCAGCTGCGTGCCGTGTCCTTACATCCAGGGGTTTACATGTAACAGTGTGTGGGTCAGACAGAATTACCATATGAAGTGGTTTTAGTGGTGTTGTGGTGGGTATGTTGTGGGAGCCTGTATGTCCACACCTCAGCCATGCTCTCCACAAGGCCAGGCTGCACACATTGCATGAACTCAACACTGTGTTGAAATTTGAAATCTCTCTAATGAAATGTTTTACTGTCAAGATGGTGATGCAAAAACTCCAAAAGTGCTAGAGGGTTTCATATTTAAAGGGCCATGTTACAATATTGTCTGATCTTGTTGTAATGTTTCTTCATCCCAAACATACCTGGAGTTGTATTTTGTTTCATTCACACGTTAAACACAAATCCTTCACGTTTAGGATGAGTTCTTCTCTTAAACCGAAAACTCATGTGGTCATAAAGGAAGTGCTCTACTGTGGTTTTTAACCTCTGTACACCTTCACTAGACTCACAAGCCACATCTCCACAGATCTGACTTGTAACTCTCCCTGGTGGCTCTACCTCCTCAAGAAGATAGATTAGTTTAAGGCCATGCTATGGAGCATTCCAATCCAGAAATCTCCATGAGGACAAGCAGGTGTTGGACCTTCTATCAAAAAGTCACATATTTATCCTTTAGCATTTGGAGGTGGTTGGAGTGTGGAGTGTGAAGAGAAATCCTCATTTGCATGCATGGATATTTATTCTCTCCACACTATTTATTTCAGACCTGTCTAAAACTTGAGCTCCTACACTTTATAGGTGGGCGATGATTTGAATGACCGTTTTGATCACACTCCAAAACAACTGACAAAAACTGTATGAAAGCTGTATATTCTTGTCAAGCTATAAAATGAATCGAAGAACAAAAATACAAGCCCCATTTCTCTCGAAGTTGTGCTCATAATGTGCAAACAACCTGCGTTCAATTGGTTTTATTTGGGAACTTGAACTCTGTATTTAACGACTGTCTGGTAATGGAGCATGTCCTCTTTGGATTACAGTGTTGTGCCATCTCTGACTTCCTCCTATTGTTCAAACAATACAGACTGTCTCACTGTTGCCCAGGGTGTCTACACCTTTAACTAAGAGAGATTGATTTTTTTGTATATAATGTCTGAGTGGGAATAGCCAATGAACCTGTGTGAACCTGTCACAACACTGCATGCCTGTTGGAGTGGGTGAAATGGCGATAAAAATGTAATTGTGATGCTTTTAACAATATGCTCTTATGGTGACATTGTCCTTTTGTGATTTTGTGCTTTTCTTTTTAATACAGCTCTAGACCCAAAAGTAGTGACTGACTAATTTGTTATGTAATACAACTAATACTGATTGTTTAGAATCCAAATGAACCGATGGCCAATAAGTTGTGCTGATATTTTGGGGGCTGATTTTGATTAATTACCCTATTTTTTCAGATGTTTTTTTTTTTTTTTTTTCTGGTCCTATTTATAACAGGTGTGGAACTTAACCTTTCATGTCTGAAGAAGGGCTTGGCCCAAAACGTCACATTGTGGTGTCATTGAAATTAAAATTTGGCAGCTTCAAAGAACTGCAATGCGAATTTCTTACCTTTTTTGTACTGTTTTTGTCTTTGGACCCAGCACATAGTGGCATTTTTTGTTGGATGTGCATGTCCCTATCTACCAGTATGTTTTTTGTTTTTTTTTACCATAAACCTATAAGAAAGCTGTGGAGTCACATATTGTGTTGTTGTCTTTTTGCACTGAAGTGTTCAAATAGAGCTTAATGTGGATTCTTCAGGCAACAGGTCAGCCAAAACAAAAGATTTAAGGCCAATAGCCAATATGCTAAAAAGTGCAACTATAAGGGTGATATATCGCCCACCATCTATCTCTACTGTCTAAAGCAAGACACTTTTCCCCACCCACTCGTACTATTAGTCAGGAGTGAGTGACAGGTGGATTTTCAGTGAACTCTGAGTCCAAAGGCAATACAAAAATGCACATTAATCATTATAAAATCAAAATCTGGCTTCAAGAAAATTGTGATATTATTTGTTGGCATGTCACCCACATAGTCTTGTGTCAAATTTTTGAAAATAACCCTTTTTTTTTCTTCTTCTTCTTTCTGTGTAGCTGGAGTTGCCGTGGCTCAGAGAGTGGTGACTGTGGAGAGTGGGCCGTTGATCCGGACAGAGGGCTCCCATGTGACCATCTGGTGCAACGTGACAGGATACAAAGAGGGCGTGGAGCAGGACTTCGAGTGGTCCATGTACCTGCCATCGGTGCTGGACAGAGAGATCCGCATCGTGAGCACGGCGCAGCAGAACTACGCCTACGCTGTGTACTCCCAGAGGGTCAACAACAAGGAAATCTACGTGGAGCGCCTGACCCGGGACTCAGCTGTGCTCCACATCACTAAAGTACAAGCCAAGGACCAGGGGCTGTTCGAGTGCTACACCCCCAACACCGATGGACGCTACCTGGGCTCCTACAGCGCACGCACCAACCTCACCGGTAAGTCTGACCAGTCTATAAACACAAACACTGGGCACTGATTGAGTCCCTATGATATAAATAAGAATAGACGGGAATTGTTTTAGAAGAAGTATAGAAGAAATAGTAGAAGGGCCACTACCTGATATTTTTCATGTATAAAGAAGCTTTTGTCTTATGAAGATTTAAAGGGACAGTTCGGAATTTTGGACATAGAACCTCATTTCCTAGTGAGCCAGAGTGTTGGAGACACTTTAAAATATTCCATCTAGTCCTTGTATTTGCAGAGGTCACTGGTGCTAGGCTAGTGCAAGTCAATGGCCATAGTTATCCTGCCACTAAAAACAGTCTTACCCACTCCACAAAGTACCCGAAGCAAAACAATTATTACGCCAGACTATTGATGTCAATGTCTGTATTGATGGAATAATTTTAGAAGTAAAACCAACCTTGCATTTGAAGGATTTATGTCTGAACAGCAGCAGCGAGCTTGGCAACTGATATATAAGAAAATAGTCCCTCAACATGTGACGATTCATGTGATGCAAGGTTAGTTTTATTTCAGACATTATTCAACAATATAAGTATGAACACAGACATTTACATCGACAGCCTGGCGTTATAATTGTTTTGCTTCGGGTGTTTTGTGGAGTGGGTAAGACTGTTTTTATTTGCAGGATAACTATGGCCATTGACATGAGCTAGCCTAGCACCAGCGACCTCTGCAAATACAAGGACTGGATGGAATATTTAAAAAAGTGTCTCCACGCATCTGCAACACTCTGGCTCACTAGGAAATGATGTCCTATGTCCAAAATTCTAGACTGTCCCTTTAAGATGACTGACTAGTGTGCTGTTAACAGGCTAGTTGTTTTTAGCATTACCATGGCAACAAAACTCCGCCCTCTGAAAGTTGTGAAAGCACTCATGAATGTCTGTGTAATCCCTCAGCTCTGAAGAAGCATCAACATTCATTATTTTTTCTTAGGCTGCTTAGTGGAGTCAATCTACATAGTTATATTGGTCTGAGGGAGGATACACTTGACTAAGGCCTCATGGTTGCTATGATAACACTAAATACTTACAGTCAACTCCTCTCACATCCATTGTCTATAGAGAATTTCCATATACTATTGTGCATGTACTAGTACTACTGGAATGCCTTTGAAATGCATGGAAATCCAGTGAGAATCCTCGACCAGATACTTTCTCAAACTTGCCTATATTTCAAAGTATACGAGAGAGATTTACTTTTACTTTTGTTGACTTTCTTGACAGATAAATTGTTTTTTAGAACCAAACTTTGCTGCCTCCCTAGTGTGCTACCAAATGAATATTTAAAGGCAAAATCAAAATACATAATCGTATATCTTTTTCCAAATCCACTGGAAACGACAATGTACAATACATTATTTAATATCAAGATATTATCTACATTGAAACACAAAGAGGTGCACTGTGTAACGTTTCTGGTGGAGGGCCTGTCAAATCCTTTTCTTCATGTAGATACTGTATGTTTGTCTGGAATGTTTCACAGGAAGATATTAAACCCTATATCACAGACATCCACACTGACTACCTGTGTTTTAGAATCGATTTTAAGATTTTCTTGATCACTTTTAAAGCTCGTTTAGGTCTTGCACCAAGTTACATTTCAGAATTTTTACCCCTGTACAAACTCTTCCGCAGCCTTATATCCTTAGGCAGGTCCCTGTGGCTGTTCCAAAGTCCAGGCTCCGGACTGAAGGCTCGATTAGCCTTGGCTTTGGAATGACCTGCCTGGGGAGATAAGGCTCACACCATCAGTATCATCTTTTAAATCACTTCTTAAGACTCATTTTTTATCGGTTGGCCTTCCTTTAACTGGTTTTAGCTTTATTTTATTCCATATTTATTTTTACTCTATTTATTTATTATAATTTATTGGATTGTTTGCATCATTGTCTGTTTTTGTTTGCCTTCTTCATGTTATTTTTATGCTTTTGTTTATGTTTTTTTGTTTTTTTTGTTTATGCCTTTTTGTTTATGAATTGTTCCTTGCTGCTTTTACAGCACTTTGTAAAACTTGTTTTTAGAAGTGCTTTATAAATAAAGAATTATTATTATTATTATCTTGGAGACCAAACCAGACCAAGTTACAGGTCAGATCTGTGCAGAGGCAACCCTACTCGCAGTCAGAATGCCTGTTTTTGTAGGTATTTTGAGCTATAATCACCTGTAATTGAATGTTATACTGTGGAACATTCCAGGCAGAGCACTGTTGTATCCATAGAAAAAGGCAGGTGATGTGGGCGCAGTAGCTCAGTTGGTAAGAGCGTTTGCCCACTGATCCGAAAGCTGGTTCGAATCCCGCTCTCGACATAAACATCATTGGCAAGCTGTTAGATCCACCGACTTACAGGTTGACTTGTGTAATTCCAGCTCCCGCAGATGAATGCCGTCTTTGTGTCTTTGGGCAAGACACTTAACCCACCTCGCCCCCAGTGTCTGCGTACACTTGTGTGTGAATGAGTAAGTGATACCTTTTTGTAAAGCGCTTTGAGTCCCTTGAAGGTGGAAAAGCGCTGTATAAAAACGTGACCATTTACTGTGAATCATCCACCAGAAAGTTACACAGTGCCTCTTTAACATCACTGCACAGTTAAAGCATATGATTTCCAGTACACAGTAAGCGGGCTGTTAAAACACATCATCTGTTCCATACATTAATCCATATTGGCATGAAGACGGTATCTGTGTCACATGCTTCACAGTCGAGTAGAGTCATCACTGTCAGTCCAGTTTAAAAATATATACTGTTAAATATTCGCTACAAACTTTAAACATCTGTCATCTTCAACTGAAACTATGAAGAGGAAAAGAAAAAAAGTCTGTCATTCTCTGTCAAAACACACCTGTTCCAATTCAGGAAGTGATGTCTAAAAACTGCTGGTACACAACATGTCTTTTCCCAAATTTCCGAAGAGCTGTGTCTGCGGTATGCTACATGTGCTCGGGAAATTTCAGTCACTTATTTAGACCAAGGCTGGGTCGCTACTGAGGAGTACACAGCTGCCATACGAAGGGATTTCATGCCATTCATAACCGCATGCCTTCATGGCCGGCGTGCGTGACCTTCCTCTTGAGGTCAAAGGGCAAACTAACTCCAAGCTGACTGCTATAGTCCACGTTTAGCTTCAAGGCTAACTGTAGGCATGACACAAGAACACATTTTGAAGTGTGATATATTGCTGAAAGTAAATATACACGTTAAAAAAACATTCTAAAGCGACAGTATTGTAAAAAACATGAGCTGCGGCAAATGAATAGCAGAAGGAAATGCTTTAGTACTTAGTTTGCATCTGTAATGAGTCATAGAAGTTATTAATTTTACATTTTATGGCTTACTTCTTATCATATAGCCTAAGAAAAACCCACACATTTCCCAGAGTCAATATAGGAATTATCGTGACAGCCCTAGCTAACTGTCACATTAATAATGAAAAACGCAGTGTGTGAAAATGCAAATGTGTGTGTTTAAAGTAGATTTTTAAGGATTCAGTCATTACGGTCCAAATTCAAAATCATGAAATATTGTCATGCTTTCTATCACTGGCACAGCTTGGACAATGTTAGTTTCTAATTTCGTTTAGATTTTTGTCAGTCTGTTTCATCAGAAAAGAGGGCTGTTTCCAGAGAGCTCTGCATTTTGGCTTATTCCTTACGTACACTAATGGCTCACAGCTGCTCAAAATGTTCTCCCACAATCCCATCCCTGATTATTATTGTGCTCTATCCTCCTTTTTATGAAACATACTTTTAGGACTTTTATTGTTAATTTATTTAAAATCAATATATTAACAAATGTATGCATGGAATATGGGTTAGACTGATTAAAGGAACCGTATTGATTTCATAGACTAATGAATGAACCACCCACTACAGGGCCTTGACCCAGCAGCTGAAAACGAAAATCATTATGCGTTTATAAACAGGAAACTCTCTTTAACTGACCTTCGCCCTAATGTCCATGCATAATTTGTAGTAGCAAGCATACACAGCAATCAGGCTTAACATTATTTTGTATTTTGTGTGCTTCTTTATAGAGATCAACCAAAGTTTAGTTTAGGATTTAGATAAACCGATGGCCGATATGCTGTACTAACGATATTTTTGGGCCGATTTGCATTATTTCATCAAATTCTGACATTTAGATTGACTACAGACTCACCCACAGCCCTTTTTTTTTTACCACAAGTCTAAAAGGGAGCTGTAAAGTCCTGCTATCCCTTCTCACTAAAATGTTAAAATGAAGCTCTGTGTGTATTTTTAGCCTTCTCCTCTATGTATGGGCATTTGACCTCTGCATTTGACCCATTCCCAAAGTAGCACTGGGTAACAACTGCGCAACACCCAGTCGATACAGCCATTTGTGGAGTCGGGATGTTTGTTTGAGTGCCTGGAGAATTGGCCGATTGTGCATGTTTTGAGTAATGACAGGTGAAGTGAAAACATAGATTATCTTTTCATTTTGACACCTGCTAGAGAGAGAGAAATTATCCAGCGAAGTTAAGACCTCAATGCAATGAAAGCAGGAAAAATGGCTGTCATAACAGGTCCAGTATTATGCTAAATTGACTCTTGTGAGGTTTAAGCCAGGCTATAATGTTACCTGCACAGAAACATAGCTGGAGTTGTGTTTTGTTACATTCACACAAGTTTGAGTAACCCTTTCATTATTAGTCTGTGAGCTCTGTTATACCCTGTGATGCCATGAAGTGGTAGTTTTTCATGTTAACGCCTACTTTTTTATCTTTTGTTCAGCAGAAATTGACAATTCCAGAGCTGAAATTACCCAAATAATTATAATGAAGGTGTATGGAGTTTAAAAACACAGTGGAGCACTTTCTGTTTTACCACTTGACATCACAAGGAGTATTTTCCATTTGAGAGAAGAACACAGCTTAAATAGTCTTAGACTTTATTAGACTTTATGCAGGAAATTATTTGGACACAGTAGCTCAGATATACAGGGTTTGTAT